TACCATATAGAAAGCCAACTATTAACATATTCGAGATGATATATGGACAGAATTTGGGCTTTCTCAGCCAATTAAATACATCTCTAGTAACACTATTGCACTGATATATTCACCTATCAGATTGTGCCGCTGCCTTCTTCCAACTAAAAGAAACTGGTTCAACAGCATCAATTTCGAGTACATGTGTAAGCTGAAAATTCTATGTAATAGCAAACTAAGAACGAGTCTCCTCTATAGGAATAGATCCTATAAATATGGAGGAAATATAGAACTCAAGAGTTGGTTACATACTCTTAAAACGATGTGCTTGGAATTGCTACAGGTCATATATATAACTACGCAAACCCATCATTTCTAAGCATGTGGATAACCATACTATATCTTTCTCAATTGAACCAACATGATACATATTGTACAAATGCAACTTTAGATGCAAATAACATAAAAACATGTACATACCTTGTGGGGTGGGATGGTCGAATAATATGAGTTCAATATAGTCTATTGACATTTTAGCTAGCAATAACTTTAACCATAGTAACCATAATATGAATAACATGATCAGGTAAAAGTGGAAATTGACTTCTTAACTTCGCTCTATCACACGATCTGGATTATGAAGGAAGGTAACATTTCCTAAATGTCCAAGCAGCCCCCTAATTATAAATATGGTGCGCAACACATTCATAAGTAAGGCTCTACTAGACACGACTTTGTAGACTCCCTAGGACGAACTGCTTTGATATCACTTTTGTCACACCCCAACCCTAGGTTAGATGGACAAGTACCAAATGAACACATGCTTCCCAAGTGACCTATGATGAGAAAGTAAACTACTATACAAATAGATTTACTAATGAGAAGTTTCGTATACAATACATGTTGACTAGCTAAACCGTTACATTTGACAAGTGAAACTATGAATACAAATGATAGCTTTACAATGTCTACAAAGCCTCTACTGGAATCCATGACTGTACCACTAGGAAAATACGCATAGTAAAGACTCAATAAAGTCTTGAATCAACCTGGAGCTCACCAACAACCGCTAAGTATCATGTGCTTCTATTAGGGAGATCTATTAGTTGAGTACATGTACCTGCAACATGAAATGCAGCATCCCCAATAAGGGACGTCAGTACGAAAGAATGTACTGAATATGTAAGGCATAATACAACCATATGTAAATTAAGAGCTCAAGTGAAACCAAACACCAATAGATAAGGATTAGAGACCACTTTTGCTTGTACTTATGGAATCGTGTATGTTACATTCTTTTCTTTAGTTTACTGTACATTATACTCTTGATAAGGCATATGGTACAAATGACCTATTGATCAGTGATAGAATAGGATGACCCATGCTTCGCATTTTAACCCTTGGGATGTTGTTCTCATAATTCCACAAATTGGGATCAGCCCATGCTAGGCTTTTGCCCCTGAGCTACCACCCTTTTATACCAATTGGGGTCGGCCCATGCTAGGCTTTCTCCCCTGAGCTACCACCCTTCTATACAAATTGAGATAGACCCATGATAGGCATTTTCCCTCGAGCAGCCACCCATAATTATACAGATTGCTTCACTTAGATTCTTTAATCTTTGATATTGTTGTTTTGGTGGTAATAATCATTTTTTATATTTGGAACTACGGACCAGTAGTAGAAGACATGAAAATAATACTTCAAGGCAGTAACAATGACATAAGGAGATATGTAACAATGCATTACTTGTGATCTTAAATGACACGATTGACTTCAACTGACTAAGAGGAGAATTCACCAAACTTGCTTTTGCAAATACCATTTATGTACCAGCACATAGGAGGATAATTACACAAGAATAGATTAGTGAACATATAATGAAGTAATTCTATACACTAAGGAGAGGGGGAAATATTGTTAGCTATTTGGAGATCGTACACTACCACTATGTTTCCTTTACTTAGGAATAGAACTTGGGAAATTTCCTTATTGATATTGATCGCAAGTAACACATTTCATGCCGAAGAATATTGAATCGAATAGCCTTACATACCTTGCTACACAACACTGGATATTACAATGAGTTATCCATCTCCCTTCCAGATTATTTATCTACAATGGAGTAAATAATAAAACTAGCATTAGTAGTTCATCAACAAGTTTGGGCTACTTGATCAGACCTAAATAGTAATAGGCAGTAAATTTATAATTGATCCCATCAAGGGTGGTCTTCCATCCATTCTCCTGTAATTTTTTCATACATTATACAACCTTCTTATAAGGTCCTACGAAATTCCTCGATTTTCATAACATTTGGAAAACAGTATACAAAGGGATGGCATAAAGTAAGCTCATGCACCAATCAATTAAGTGATGTATCACTACACTTTCAATGTTCTATCCTCTAACCAGTTCCGATGACTTATGTGCACATATCCAGCCACACCCCCTTATTTTACGATAGACATAATAGTCCCTATGCATCACAATGTGGAAGTAGCAATATGAATCACGGCTTTCCACCAACATCCCATTAGTTCCCATTAACATTACATTTAAGATGCTCAAAATGAGCTCACAATCAAAATTTAAGGAGACTCCACTCCATGGATGTCCCAACAAGCACATCTTTCTTGAACATTTACCAAGCTCACACCATATAGAGGCAACACTCCTAAGTTTATTAATACATACAAACTTTCACAAACAATGCAAGAACAAGAGAGGGATGAAAATTTCCATAGCTTACCCTTGTTGGACAAAAACCTCACTTGCTAAGACTTGGATTTTTCAAGGTTTAGGTTATCCTCTCCCCCTTACTTTGATGTTAAATCAGATTATCACTTGAATTCCTTAATATGGGAGATGTTTTACCAACTTGAACTTTAACAACACCTATTTCCTTCAGATTTTAATGGTGAAGCTATAGACCAAAACTCTTGGAGCTTCTACGGCTTTACTTGGGAGTAATTTTCTGGAGAATAAGTGATGAGGGAGCTGTGATGAGCTTGAGTGCTTTACAGGTACCTTCTGGACGTTTTCACTTAGTAAATTGGAGAAATAATATGGTCCTTTACTTTAAGCAAGCAGGTGCATCACCTACTCAAGTTCTGCCACAAGTTTTTAAGTAGGTGCATCACCTCATTTCCCTTTTCACTTAAAATGCAGTCCACCTATTCTAAGTAGGTGTGTCACCTACTTGCTCTTTCCACTTATTCTAAGTAGGTGAATCACCTACTTGCCCCTTTTAACTTAAAATTCAGTCCACTAATTCTAAGTAGGCGCATCACCTCATTTCCCTTTTCACTTAAAATGCAGTCCACCTATTCTAAGTAGGTGTGTCACCTACTTGCTCTTTCCACTTATTCTAAGTAGGTGAATCACCTACTTGCCCCTTTTAACTTAAAATTCAGTCCACTAATTCTAAGTAGGCGCATCACCTACTTGCCCTTTTCACTTAAAATGCAGTCCACTAATTTTAAGTAGGTGCATCACCTAATTGTCACCTACTAGCATAGTTTACCCAAGCAAGCACCTCACTTATTTTACACCATTTTCCCAATCTTAGTTTTTTTACAAGACCGTAGAACTAATACACACTTGACCACTATGACTTTTACAGCGAATACCACCTTTCCCGAGTTCAAATTGTTTTTGAGTTCACTTAGTCGTATATGTGTTGGAAGGCACGGGGTATTACAACTTTAAACCTATTCTATTGTCTCTAGTCCCATAGGAAACGGAGTCCATAACTATACCGTAGGAAATTTATAAGCGTCATATAAATAGAACTAGTACACGTAGAATATGGGGTGTTACACCAACTTTCCATGCACTACGACATGAAGCATAGAACCGAAGGTCCTATTAACAACTTCCATTTGGCCATCAGTTTGTGGGTTACAAGAAGTTGAGAATAACAACTTAGTACCAAGTCTACCCCACAATTCCTTCCAAAAGTGACTAAGGAATTTTGGATCTCTATCACTTACAATGGTTTGAGGAATTCCATGCAGTTTAACATGTTCAAAAAACAAAGATGCTACATTGGAAGCATCATCACGTTTATGGCATGGAATGAAATGAGCCATCTTTGAAAATCGATCAACAACAACAAAGATGCTATCTCTACCTCTTTTGGTCCTTGTCAAACACAAAACGAAGTCCATAGAAATATCAAGACAAGGTCTTTGAGGAGTGGGGAGTGGGGTATATAACCCATGGGGGAGGAGGCGAGACTTAGCACGTCGACATTCAATACATTGACCATAAATTCGAACAATATCTTTATGCATTTTGGGCCAATAGAATTGTTCCTCAAGAATTCCCATAGTTTTGTTAATACCAAAATGACCCATTAAACCCCCATCATGTGCCTCACTCATAAATAATTCTCTCCAAGAGCTCATGGGCACACAAAGTCTCTTTCCTTTGAACAAGAAACCATGAAACTTGGAATATAGATTAGAAGATCTATCCCTCATCCACCTTTCCCTCTCCCATTCCTCACAATCTTTGAAGGTTAGAGCGAACATGGGATCCTTGGGATACAATGTCTTCAAGCATTCAAACCCAATAAATTTAGAAGACAAAGTATTTATCAACACATATTTTCTAGACAATGCATCGGCCTCCACATTTTCCTTTCCCTTTTTGTATAGGATTACATAAGGGAAAGTTTTAAGGAATTCAATCCATTTTGCGTGCCTCTTGTTAAACTTTCCTTGAGCCCGAATATGCTTTAGGGACTCATGGTCAGTCCTAATGACAAATTCTTTGGGCCACAAGTAGTTTTACCGATTACCCAAAGCCCTAATCAAGGCATACAATTCAAGATCATCAATGGAATAATTCAAAGTAGCACCTTTTAGCTTTTCACTAAAGTAAGCAATGGAATTTTGGTCTTGCATTAAGACGGCTCCAATGCCTACTTTACTAGCATCACACTCCACTTCAAACATTTTATCAAAATCAGGAAATTGCAACAAAGGAGAGGAACTAAGCATGGATTTTAAAGCCTAGAAAGCCTTGGCTAGTTCCTCTAACCACTTAAAAGGTTTATCCTTTTGGATTACCTCGATCAAGGGGGCTGCAATGGTACTAAAACCTTTGAAAAATCTCCTATACAAACTAGCCAACCCATGAAAGCTTCGAATATCACTTATGGATTTGGGAATTGGCCAGTTCTTAATAGCATCAATTTTAGACTCATCAACTTCAACCCCTCTTGAACTCACAACAAAACCTAAAAAGGCAACTTCATCAACATAAAATGAGCACTTATCAAGATTAGCATAAAGTTGTTCCTTCCTAAGAACATCAAACACACATCTCAAATGCTCAACATGATCATGCATGGTCTTGCTATAAATCAAGATATCATCAAAATAAACAACCACAAATTTCCGTATAAAGTGTTTCATCACATGATTCATGTGACGCATAAAGGTACTAGGAGCATTAGTGAGACCAAATGGTATCACCAACCATTCATATAGACCAAACATGGTCTTGAATGCGGTTTTTCATTCATCACCGGGATTCATCCAGATTTGATGATAACCACTCCTAAGATCAATCTTTGAAAACACATAAGAACTATTCAACTCATCAAGCATATCATCTAACCTAGGGTTAGGATGACGATACTTTACCGTTATTTTGTTGATGGCCCGACAATCAACACACATGCGCCATGTTCTATCTTTCGTTGGAACAAATAAAACCGGCACAACACATGGACTCAAGCTCTGTCTAACATAGCCTTTGTTGATGAGTTCTTCAACTTGCCTTTGTAGCTCCTTGGTGTCCTTCGGATTGCTTTGATAAGCCGGCTTGTTTGGTAATTGTGATCCCGCAACGAAGTCAATCTGATGCTCAATTCCCTGGAGAGGAGGCAATCCACTTGGAAGCTCTTTTTGGGAAGGCATCCTCATAATCCTGTAAAAGAAAGAAAATAGAATTGGGAAGGGGAGAATGACATTAGGTAATTTGTAGTACATGATCCCTATGTGTGACAAGGATCAAGGAACTTTCGGACTCAATTTCCTCCCTTATATCTTTGTAATTTTCCCACAATACTTGGCCCTTTCCTTTCAACTTCTTCCTTTCCTCTTCTTCTTGGCCCTCAGCCTCCACATGTTCCTCTTCACACTTCTTCGCTTCCCTTGACTAACTCATCATTTTATATATATTGTTGACTTGAGAGGGGGTCATAGGGTGAAGAACATATTTATGATCATTCAACACAAGTAAATATTTGTTGGTTCTCCCATCGTGTTTAGTCGAACGATCATGTTGCCAAGGTCTCCCAAGTAGCACATAACAAGCTTGCATTGGGACCACATCACATAGAACCTCATCTTGATACTTCCCAATCTTAAACTTGATCATCACTATCAATGCATCCTCAATTATCGACACTCATTCAACCATTGAAGTTTGTAAGGTGTAGCATGCTTAGTTATAGGAAGTTTTAAGAGTTCCAGTAATGCAATGCTAGCAACATTTGCACAACTCCCGTTATCAATGATTAAGGAACACACATTATCCTTGATGAAGCACTTGGAGTGTAATAAGTTCTCTCTTTGGCTCGGACCATCCAAGGCCTTACTAACCATTGCTCGCCTCACCAGATATAGAGGAGAAATACTTTCTCCTTCTTTTACACAAAGGTGTAGTTCCTCATCTTATCCATCTTCAAACTCATTCTCTTCTTGAGGATCTTCTAATACATGATGAGTTAGGAGACCCATAAGATATTAACTTAAAGCCCTTCGAAAACTCTTTCCAACTCCATCGAGTTTGCTAAATTCCGAGCTCTGAGTGAAAAGTTATGACTGATTTACTAACGACGCACAAATCTGGCAACAGCTCCGCGATGGCTGCGCATTCCGAAACCAATACGGGCCTCACTGCCTGGCGAAAAATTATTTTGACTCCCAGCTTATTTCTTTATTTCTCAAAGCGTATTTTGGTCCTAAAAACCCTTAGGAGGTCATCTAAATTGCCCTAAATGTGTAGAAAATCAGTTTTCATAAATAACCCTCTCATCCACTCAAAAAATTCTAATGCTCAAGGAATTCAAGAAACACTAAGGCTAGGGTTCATCTTTCAAGATTTTCCTTCAAATTGCTCCAAGAAGATAGTTCTCTCAGGTATGTAAGCTTTCATAGTGTTGGGTTTTGTAGCACCCCGTAAATTAGTGAGTTGACCTAGTAAGTTCTAGACTAAATCTAGTAGGTTGAACTAGAACCTCACGTGTTATTTTATATTTGGAAACTTGTTTTAATGATTAAAAATGGTTTTTAGTGTTAGTTTGGGGATTTTACAAGTCAAATGTCAAGAAACGACTAAAACGTCCGAAAAGTAGTCATTTGAGCTAGTGTGTTCTAGTGTCATGTCATTGAAGTTTGGTGTGTTGTTTGAGGACTATAACTTGTAGAAATGGTTCCCCTACTTAGATGGACATGTTTAGGGGTTAAACGTCCGAGTACGACTCCCTAAAGAGCACTCGAGGGGTCCTTGAGGAGGACCCCGAAATAGTCCCCAAAACTGCCAAGATTGATGTGATCTACGATTGCAATCCACGGCCAGTAGATTGATATACGACTCGTGGATAAGCTCCGTAGGTCAAGACTTAGTCTTGTGGATGGGCAATCGTAGGTGCTGCCAACTTTTGGAGTGTTAGTTTTAAGTTGGTGATTTGGAGTTTAGTTGGTTGATTGATTAAGGGCTTATGGGGTTGGTTAGTTAGTTAGTTAATCACCCATTTGAGCTAAAAAGACCCTAAACTAAGTCATGGAATTGTTTGGGACCAGGACCCCAAAGAGGATTGGGCGATCCCGACTTAGGTCGCCCATTGGCCATTTCGGGTTACTTTTGGGCCCATCTATGTAACAATGCCTAAAACTATAAATAGGCCTTTAGGAGTTCATTTTAGGTTAGAATATTTTGAATATTGACGAATGATGAATTGAACTCCTTGTGTGAGTGTTTGAAAGTTTGGTAAGCTTTTGGTGAACCTTGTTTAGAAATGTCGGTTGCTTGAGATATTGATTCCCTAGAGGTCTTCATAAGAGTTAGGTGTTTCTTGTTGGATTAATGAATTGAGGTCTTTGGGTTTAATATACCCTTAGGTTACTCTTTGTTTCCTCTTTTTCTGTCTATCTATTTATCTATCTTTTAATTTCCGCATTTTAGTATGATTCCCTTATAGGAATTACATAATTTAGTATCAGAGCCGAGCTTAGTATCGTTCCTACGATTCTAGTCTTGGGTTTGTTGCTATAAAAAAAACTGTTCAAAACATTTTTTGTGAAAATTGTTGAAATTGGTTTGTTGATTTGTGTCTTGTTTGAAGTTTCCAAGTTTGGATTAGTGTTCCCTAACCTTATCTAAGTCTAGGGCTGAGATTTGAAAGGGTTTGGTGCACTATTGAAGAATCGACCATTGAAGGTTGAAGAAGCTTTGAAGAAGACAAAGTGGGTTTTGAAATCTGGAAGAAAGGCAAGGAATTAAGTGCTAAAAAGTATTGGGGTTTGTTCCCTATATCTAAGAGAGCTTGTATCTCAAATTTCGTGAAATTTTGAGCTAAAAATGTTAATAGTTTATTTTTGGGTCTTCATAGTTGTTCTTAAAGTTCTTGAAGAACATTCAAATCTTCAAGGAAGGAATCTTCAAAAGAGAAAGAGTTTGATTCTAAAAAGGATTAAAGAGAAGGTATAAAGGTGTTTGTACAAAAGGAATTTACCTAAAAGTGGAAAGCATAAAAGACAAAGGAAAGGGGGGGGGGACCACAACAGTTCAATCTTTGGAGTTGTGCATGTGCAGCTTGAGGAATTTGGGCGAATCCCCACTTGGATCACCCATTCCACTCAGCGTCTCGCCCTTTGGACAGCTAGGTCATCGAGTTGGCCCTCATTTTGGTGGAGATACTGGAAATTTCAGCGAGCTACGCCCTAGTAGCCGAATCCACTCGGCGCATTTCCACCCAGATCGCCGAGTTGCCTTGGTAGATTGTCAAGCTTGGCGAGTCAATCTTCAAGTTAGCGAGATGAACTTCACGTTAGGCGAAGAAAATAGTGCATTTGGCGATCGGAAGCTCATCTTATGACCCTTTCTTCTCAGGTCCTAATTCTAGTTTCTTTTCTTTTGTTTCTAGTTCGTTGTCAAGAATCCTAAATTGATTTTCAACTCGTAACTACTCTACTTGTTGACTATTGGTTATTGAATTCACTTCTTTGTTAGTACCTTTTCTTTGTGTGCTTTTATTCGTTTTTACTTCAAAGTTAACTACTTGATTCAAGTCCGTTTGCTTAAATCGAGTCGTCCATTCTTCTTCAAATAAAAATCTGTTCTGACGAAGAGTAGAAATTGAGACCTTTTGATCGACTGAGTATAAGCAATCCTCAACATTAGTCGCGCCAATTTGAGAGGCAATCAGAAGTGTGTAAACACGAGCGATTGTGAGTTCATTTTATTAACGCTAACGTTGTGTTTTTTTTGTGAGTTGTCACTTTGTAGGTACACGAATTTATAAGGAAGCATGTCCTCCATTGCCTCTGACCCATGTCACTGTGATATGAGAGATTATTATTGTGATGATGAGGGCTATCGATGTGAGGATAATGGTGATTATTGGGGCTATGAGGATAGCCATGATTAAGAGCCGAATGAGAATGAGAGCTACTATTCCAGAGGAGGATATGAGAGAAATGTTGAACACAACTCTTATGGTGAAGATAGAGGGGAAGAAAACTCTTGCGGTTACTCCTATGATGGTGAGGGAGTATGTGAGAGGTCTTACTCTCACTCCGAGAGTGAAGATGGTTCCTATGATGATGCCTGTAGCACCCCATAAATTAGTGAGTTGACCTACTGAGTTCTAGACTAAATCTAGTAGGTTGAACTAGAGCCTTACTTATTAGTTTATAGTTGACAACTTGTTTAAATGGTGAATTATGGCTTTTGAAATTAGTTTGGTGATTTTAGAAGTCAAACGTCAAGAAACGACTATAACGTCCGTAAACTAGTCATTTGAGCTAGTGTTTTCTAGTGTCTTGTCGTTGAAGTTTGGTGTGTTGTTTGAGGGCTAAAACTTGTAGTAATGGTTCCCATACTTAGATGGACATGTTTAGGGGTTAAACGTCCGGGTACGACTCCCCAAAGACCACTCGAGGGGTCCTTGAGGAGGGACCCCAAAACAGTCCACTAAGGCAGCCTTTGGTGGTCTATGGTTGCTATCTACGTTCAGTAGATCAATCCATGCCCAATCTATGGAGGCACAGTACGGCCCGTAGACCCATCCACGATCCCTGGATGGGCAATCGTAGGTGCTGCCAACTTTTGGAGCGTTAGTTTTAAGTTGGTGATTTGGAGTTTAGTTGGTTGATTGATTAAGGGCTTAGGGGGTTTGTTAGTTAGTTAGTTAATCAAACACCCTAAACTAAGTAATGGAATCGTTTGGGACCAAAACCCCCGAAACAGTTCACTAAGACAGTTTTGAGGTGACCTACGGATGGCCATTGAGGGCCAATAGGTTGGTTGACACCCCCGTAGGTCAAGAACGTAGGTCCATACTTAGTTTTTTTTAGAGGCCTGCAATATTTACACTCCCAGACCCAAACCACAAGACCAAACCACGGACAGTAGATCAATCTACGGTCCGTGGATGGCCAAACGTAGATGCTGCTAGTTTTTCAGCTTTCCTTTTTAAGTTAGAAGTTAGGGGTTGGGCTAGTTATTAATTAGGGGTTAATGTAGGTCGGTTAATAGGTTATCTAACCACCTATATAAGTTTAATCAAACCCTAAACTAATTATTCTAACTCACCCAACTAAAGACCCCAAAACTCTCTCCAAAAATCATCTCTCTAGAAGAAGAAGAACAAGAAGGGCAGCTTCTTGGACGAATTCACCATTGATTCAAGCTTAGT